ATTATATTTATTTCTAATAAAATAAAAACTAAATATAAAAATCTATTTTTTAAAGTATTAAATATATTATTAATAGAATTTATATATTTTGAAACTAAAACTCTAAATAATTTAAAATATTAGTATTATTTTATTTATTTTAACTAAATAAATAAATTTAAAAAAAAGCTTAAATTCTATAATTTATAATAAGCTTTAAAGAAATAATTAAAAAATAAAATTTTAATATTTCTTTTTATAAATTATTTTAAATTAATATTAAGCTTAACTAATATATATTATTATAGAAATATTAATTTCTAAAAGTATTAGTAAATTATAAATTATTAAAAAGATATTTATAAATAATATTATTTATTATTATTTATTAATTAGAACTATTAAATAATATATTTTAGCTTTATATAATAAAATAATTCTATTCGAGTAATTAATAAACTAATTTGCTATAAGAGAATCTCGAATGCTTTAATAAATATATAGAAGTTTGAAATTAGTTTATATTTCGAGTTCTTTAAATTTATTAAAGAATATATTTAATATATTTAAGAGTTCAAGAATTAAAGCTATTTTATTATTAAAGCAGCCAAGAAAATAAAATAGTTTAAAAAATATGAAAATATATAAGCTAATATTAATACTTTAAAATACTATTTAAAGAATAATTTACTTAAAAAGATTATTATAGAGTTTTATAAACCTATTTATATTATTAAAGTTAATTAATAATTATAAGGCATTTGTCTAGTTAATATAATTACTTTATTAATCCTCAAATATAAGCTCGAAAAGTAAAGCAAAGTAGCCAAACTATTCTTTAAGCTATTTAATAGTATAACTAAAAATTAAATTCTTGAAATATAGGTCAAGCTTATTAATAACCTTATATAACTCTATAAAAAGCAAGAAACCCCTTATTAATATAAGATACTAAAGAAAATAAGGCACCTAAAGAGTTACTATATATATGCGAGTATAGATATAGATAAGGAAGAGGAGAAGGAGAAAGATATCTCTTAAGGAGAGACCGAGATAGAGTCTGATATAGACTGGGAAATCAAGATACTAGCGGACAAAGATTCAGATACAGACTCTATAGCTTCTATAGAAGTAAAAGAGCAGCCTATGGCCCCTATACTATACTATGCCTTTTGCAAATGGGCTAATAAGGAGGCAGGCCCCCGGAAACGGGAGCATGTATTCTCCCGTATCAGTAGTCTTGGCCGCCATATCCGGGCTCAGTATCTCTGTCCTCGGGCTGCCGGCAAAGGCTTTGACTATCCATACCAAGGGTGCTCAGCCTTCTTAGGGAGCGCTATATACTTCTTGAGTTACACCGAACATTAGTATGAATTATGTCTTTGATAGCATTATTAATAGATTATATGGGTTGCAAGTCTCCCCAGTCCTAGCCATACTAAGGGCATGAAATTGAGCTGCGCGGCCTCACGCCCGTTGCTTGGGACTTCCTGAGCACATTGTAAGGACACTAATAAACTTAGTAATTATTATAGTCAGTAAACACACCAAGCTCGGGTCATCCATCTGGCTAATATATTTGAAGTACTTAAAGTTAGTGCAAGCAAAAAAAGACAGAAATCTTCCAATTTTGCATCTTTGCCGATCCCATATTATTGGCTTCCGGCTTGCAAAATTGAATGTAAATCCTGTGCTAGCTGAAGCATAAATAACAATTCTACTCGGCAAATATCATTATATTGCTTTAGAAGAACAATAATGATCAGACGCTGGTGGGCTGAGAGGTGGTGGATTAGAAAATGGCGTGAATGTGATAGTTTGAGAGAAAGGAGGTTCCAGCATCTGAACAGATTAGCACTTTACGGAGAACGCGGCATAAAGTGACGGGATTACAGGTGCATGCATAATTATAGGGCCACTAATAGGGCCTGCAGTGTCTCAGCGAGCCCTGTAAGCCCCGTAATTACCTTCCAATAGAGGCATAAGGCCCCTGAAAGCTCCCTGAAACATAATGTAGCCCGATTAGAAGGTTATATTAAGCCACAGGCTTTGATAGGGCCCTTAGCCCCTGTATTTTAGGCGTACGTCCGCAATCGGTAGCGGGGTAAAGTGAGCTTTACCCCCCTTCTCACCCCTCCCCAAGCTCTTTACTCACTCTCTTCTTTACTCTCACTTTCCCTTAGCAATTATGGCTACCTTTGGTGGTTTGTTTGACTTCCCCCCAAGCTCTTTACTCACTCTCTTCTTTACTCTCACTTTCCTATTTAAAGCTAGTAATTATGGCTACCTTTGGTGGTTTGTTTGACTTCCCTGATTTATTAGATAACTAATTAGAGCTCTCCTCTTCTCCTAATTCCTCTAATTCAGACGAATTAGCCTATAGTATAGCTACTAAAGATAAAGAGGATGCCTGGTATAATTTACTATCTGATTTAGAAGATAAAGACAATAATTCGATTATACCAAGCCTTATTCTTCCTCTTTGTCCTTCTATAGCTACTTCTACAGCTTTTACTATACCTAATATTATATATAAAAAGTATTCTACTAGTACTAGAATTAAGGCTATTTATATACTTGAGTAAAGACGATCTATAGGCAATATTAAGAAAGTTATAGGAGTATTCAGAACTCGTATTTATAAGCTTGCAAGCCTTACTAGGTAATATAGATAAAGAGAGTATGAGAATATGCCTCTAGAAACCTCTTATATACTTAATTAATCTTGATCTAGTAGGCTAGTAATCTCGCCTGCTATAATTAAGTATATCTTATAAGTAGTACTTCAAAATTCGACTATTTATAGTTTCTCCTATATTGTTATTATAAAGGAAGTAAGGAAACGAGGTTACGAGATTGCTCCCCGGATAGTTTAGAAGGTTCTTATAATAGCTGGCTATTCTTAGTATAAACTAATAGTAAAGCCTGGTTTAAATAAGTTTAGTAAAAAGAAAAGGCTAGACTAGTATTTAAAGTACAAGTATTAGAGTCTTAAAGATTAGAAAAATATAATTTTTATAGACGAAATAGTAATATAATTAGGTAATATATAAGAGAAAAAAAGAGTCTAAAGGCTTCCAGGGGAAGCTTATAATAAGTATTATATAAAGAGATACTAGAAAGGCTTTTTAGAGTTTATATTTTAGGGATTATTCTCATATAATAAAAAAGGGCTATACTATATATGGGAAAAGGAAATAGCTTAGTAAAAGCGAGAGAGAAAAGCTAATTTAGATATAAGGAATTCCTTAATTAAGAAGACTAATAAACAGAAATAAGAGAAAGAGTAAAGGAAGTAGCTAAGGGATTAGATTAAAGTCTATAGTAAGAAACCTAATAGAACGAGAAAAATATAGAAATATAATAAGAAAACCGGAGCTTTTATAGTAAAGAATAGATATAGAGGAATTAATTAGTACTAATACCAAAGGGAAATCCTTACTATAAAGCTCTTGCCCTTTATAAAGGAATACCTAAAGAATCGTCTAAATACTATTATTTAGGAGAATAATATACCAGTTTATAAATCTCATTACTAATAAGGGATTTATAACCTTTAAAGGATTATGAAAATGCTCTGGCCAAGTAACTTACCTGATCTCAATACTATTAAGCCTATATGGTTTTATATAAAGAAAGAAACTACGAAGCGGGGACCTATGAGTAATAGAAAGAAGCTAAGGGTAAGGTGGGAGAAATACTAGAAGGATCTTCCTCAAAGAAAAATTCAAGAGTGGATTGAGGCAATTCCTTATTACGTAAAAGAGGTAATTAGATTAGAGGGAGGGAACGAGTATAAGGAAGGGCGAAAGAAGGGCCAAGAGAAAGAAGCAGTATATAGCTAAAGTATATCTTCAAATATGATTAATTTTATCAGGTGATTTACCCCACCTGCAAGCCCCTTTTTTTAAGCGAAATAGCCTTCAGGGGGCAAGTAAGACCTTACAGGGCACTTTAGTGGACTGCATATAATTATGCCCTGTAATCCCGTCACTTTATGCCGTGATCTGCGTACCAAGGGAACTATAAGTGTTCAAAGTCGCACCTTGGTGGGCTGGAGAGGTATGCTCGACATTAAAGATTGTGAAGCTGGTAAGCCTGCGGCCGTCGTAAGCTATCACGAGAGGGCAGGGGCTTTTACGAAATATTACCCCGCCCCCTCAATCGAATCCCTAGATGATAGGCTTGATGCTGACTAATTTCGGGCTGTGAGACACCAGTGGGTGTCCGAATTCGCTACGCACGGGCCAAAAACACCAAAAATCTAAGGGGCTCAGAAATCAATTAATGTCACTATTTTACAGCTTCATTACTACAATGCAGTCTTAATAGGCTTTCCACCGTTTTTAGTAAGGCGTAGGCATCTCCCAGGCATATCTGAAATGCGCTTTCGCACCTCCTCCATTATTACTTTGCTCCATTCCTCCTGTAAAGCCCCCTTTACCTTCTCGTCAGAATAGAATATTCTATACTGCAATCGCTGCTTGATTATATTCTAAATAGCTTCAATTGGGTTCAAATTAGGGCTCTGGGCAGGGTACTTAAAGTTGTCAATCGAATTCAGGTCTTTAAGCCTGCGTACTAAGCCCTTCTTTCTTATACCATAAGAGGGGTCCCTATCCTCTTGCAAAACCCACGGTCCAGGCTCTCGATTGCGAGCCTCTTGAATAGCTTCGATATATACTGGTAAGAGACGCTCAGTATAGTACTTTTGGGTTATGGAATTGCCCTGTGGCTTGACTTCGACTTTATAAGGCTTTAGGGCCTCTTATTCGCGAATTCTGGCTTGATATTCGTTCTTTGATTCGGTCTTTGAGCGGCAATGAGGTTTAGAAGGTATTAGGGGTTATATAACCTCCTTTTCTTCATTATAGTAAAACTCAAGCTTCTTTGCTTTTGTATCCCAGGTAATCCATGCCGCGATATGGAACTTGACGCCCTTCCTTTTCCCTCTCTATAATATTCTCATTATTATAGCATTTTACATGCTCCCTAAGTATTCCTGAAGCTTGCTATATTATAGGGTCGATATATACTTTATTAGTAAAAAAGATATATCTCCAAAAATCGTCCACATTCTTGTCCTTATACTCCTTACCATATAATACTCTCTCCTCCTTATTTTTCTCTGAGATTTCCTTCTTTATAAATACTGCCTTATAAATCTGACCGCCGTTTATATACTCTCTTAATTTCTTTTGTAATTAATGCTGCTTAACAGGTATATTATGGTAGGCAATCTATATATTATATAATTGATTACGGACCTGATTTCGTAATAGAGAAACGAGCATCTTGCAGACTGCTTTTGTGACTTTCGAGCGTCTTCCAAGGTTTGACGATAGCTTGCGCGTATGACGATATGCCAGAGACCCTAATTCCTCCCTCTGCTTCTTCCAAAGGCGGCCTGTTCCTTCTGTAATATTGTAATCCTTACAGATCGCTCGCATGGACCGGTTCTCGTGTTCCCTATCCCAGGCATTATAGAACCGGGGTTTTCTCACAGTATTAGCTTCTTGGCCTTCTGAAGGACCAGGGGGAGGGGTAATCCTCAAATTGCGACGTGTGGTTGGGGCCATATTGAGCAATTGGTGTGGTTGTTTACTTGAGAGGAAAATCGCGATTTCGTGTTTTTGGTGTTTTTGGCCTGTGCGTAGCGAATTCGGACACCCACGGGTAGCACGGGTGAGAGGCTTTGTGTAACGCTGCTATCTTCCACTATCAATGACCATTATGAATCCTTACTCTAGGGGAAAATGGCTCTTCTCACCTTCTTGTACTTTGTTACTTCACAGAGCAGACTCACGCAATCAGCGTAGGCGATTGAAACTCACGGAACTGTTGTCCGATCAGGGCAGAAATAGGCGGTAGGTCCCAAGCCTGGCTTCCACCAACCTCCTCTGGCGGCCTTGAGCGAGGCTCCGAGGCGTTGAGGCTTTGAGGTTTTGGTCACGTCTTGCAGCCCAGGATACGCTCTGCGAGCTCTTTGGCCGAAAACCCCCCACGGTGCATATGCTGTGTTACAATGTCCGTCTTATTTTGGGTACCTCCGTACAGAGACTGCCTTCTCGAGCATGGCGCAAAGTGGCTTAGGAAACGACGATGAGGTCGCCAATCAGTTCTAGTTGCGAGTGCCGCCAGAACGCATTTGCTGCCACACGTGCGCTCTGCTGTTCTGTGATGAGACAGCAGATTTTGACCTTGGCACCGATGCAGCCTAATCCTTTATTGAGGTATCTGCCCCAACACTTCTCCTCCGAATGTGTCGGGCCCACCTAGTCGGTGCGAGAGGAGGCTGGGACGAGGGAGCGGCATGTCCCGCAGTTGGACTAGGCCAATGGCTTGAGAAAATCGTATTAAGTGCGGCTGCTGCCAGGTTTCTAGCTTCTCTTCCATCCCCAGCCTCGTCCTCGGTCATGGACACAGTAAGGTGCATGTGCCCCCAAAGGTTAATCATGTACTGGTTCATCTTGCTGTTCATTGCTCCTGCCGTCTCCAGGGGTTCTTACAACGTTTCCCATGTACTTCACTCCTCAAATCTACTTTCCGGTCGTCAAAATACTTGTGGCTCATGTGCAAGTACGAATCAGCTAAAGTCTTCTTTGTATAAAGCAGAATTATCGCTGACGAAGGGTTTTTAGGCACTGAGCAATGCTGTGGTAGTACATGCATTGACGCTGCTCTAGTTTGCTGCCCAGACGGTCTCTATTGGTGTCCTATTGTCGGGGAGTCGTGCGAACCTTGCCCTGCTGGATTGCATTGCTCTACCATCTACGGCGATTATTCACCATGGGCATGCTGTCCAGACAATGTTTGTACTTTGAGGGTGTCGAGTGGTACTGGTATAGCTACAATCGTAACATCGATCGGTAGCCCCGCGCCTCCAAGCTCTGCACCCCCAACGTCTACGTATACTCCGCCTACCACCACGCCCTCGCCCTCACCGAGTCCCCCTCACACTACTCCAACACCTTCTCCGAGCCCTACTACGCCATCCCCTTCACGAAGTCCTCCACCTACCACCCCGTCGCCTTCGCCAAGTCCTACCACCAGACTCATAACACCCCCAATCATTACACCAACTATAACACCAACTTTGTCAACTACTCCAAAGAGCGCAAGCTCCAAAGCCTCTGCAACGTCCTCAAGTATCAACTCTGTGAAATTCATCACATCTACAATCTCCCCTCGCTCAACAGCTTCAAGATGGGATGGATCCGGACCTCTCCTTACCGGGACTTGTGCCACTCCCGAATTCTCGCTGGTTAACGGACCTCAAACGACATCAGTGTTCTATATCGGAGTAGTTGGCTGTGTGGGCGACAAAACGGATTGCTGTCCATTCCAAGTAAGCAGCACAACCGCGACCGTTACAGCTGCAGGACCGGCTCCCACAACTCAACTCAACTTTCCTTCTGCGAGTACGACCAATCAAAATACCCTGCCAGACTGTCCAGCAGACTACCAGACTATCTCATCTTCCTTCTGCTGTCCTTCGTAAGTGTCAATCTATACACCACTTGAAAAGATGAAGTTCAACTAATTGAATCAGGGGATACTTGCTCTGGGACACCCCGCTCGGAGGAATAACACCATGCTATAGCACAACATCTAACTATCTGACACCTCCATCCATTACCGATGCCTCGGCCACAGACTTTGCAGCTCCTACCGGTCCATCAATAACCACAAGCACTGTCGTCAACGTAGTATACGCCATGAACTACCCTGTCAAGGGTCGGTCGACCACACTGAGCAAAGGTGCGGATGCCGGTATTGGCGTTGGCTCGGTAGCTGTAGCGGCTGTGGCCGCTTCTGTTTTGTTCTGGTTCTTCTTCAGGAGAAGACCTCGGGATCCGGATAATGAGGATAATCATAGTCCGTATTCTGACAGGGGAAGAGGCCGAAATGAGTCTTCGCCTTCGGCTGGACCGGCAGTGACGCCTTAGATTGGATTTCTCTCTTTTGTCGAATTTGTTGCATAATTAATCATGGCTTTTTTATGTTCGTATAGTAGGGGAGACGACGTCAGTATTTCGTATACGGCGTGGATGGTTTAATCTAATGTTTTAATGGTCAATTGGTCAAACAGTCTGTTATATACTAAATGTGCCTACTCTCTATTAAATAGCAATCTCCGATCCAATCTATATAAACTCCACACTCACCCCTACTTTATGCCTCTAACAACGCAGAATCTCAAGTTGGGCTCTTCAAGAATCGTGCCATTCTCCAATGACTATTGCTTTCCGCGACCCTCTCCGGCGTTTACCGTATCCTCGTCCTCCTCCCTCTCAAATTAGTCTTCACAATCTTATCCGCACCATTCTCAACCAACAACTTCACAATCTCCAGGTGTCTATAGCTGGCCGCAACAAATAGCGCCGTCTCTCCATCATCACTCTTCAGCTCCGTATCCGTACCATGCCCTACTAACACCCTTGATGTCGCCTCGTAGCTATACCACACCGCAGCATGCAATGGCGTCCATCCACCTGTAGCCTTGACGTTCTTCTTTGCCTCTCTATCCAACAGCAACTTTATAACTTTCTTGTACCTAGCCTTTGCAGCGGCGTACAAAGATATCCTGTCATTGCGGTCCTCTGCCTCTATTTTGGCACCTTGATCTAGCAGTAGCCTTGACATTGCGTCGCATCCGAACGTTGCTGCAAAGTGTAGTATCAACTGTCCGCTCACGGTCCTGGCAGTCTTGTCGGCGCCTCTATTAATCAGCAGCGATATTACTATATTATATCCATTCTGAATCGAGCAGTGAAGCAGCATCAATCCCTCTTGGCTCCTTATCTCCATGTCAGTACTGCCGTCCAGCAGTAATCGTACGATAGACTCGTAGCCAAACCAAGCTACTACATATAACGATATCCACTCCCCATTAGCTCTCGCTTCCTTACGAGCCCGGCCTCAAAAGTCCGTGTTTTTAGCGATATTTTCAGGCATCGCAAAACCAAAGTCTCCCACTTCACTTGACAAATATACAACAACTATTAATTGTGACCTATTATATTATATATATATATAATTAAAGAAGCTAGAGTGAGTTTTAAAACTCTTTTAAAGCGATTTAGAGAATAAGATAAAAGGCACAAAATTGGGTTTGGCATTCGCTTCTTAGCGAAATGCCCTAAAAACACGGACTTTTGAGGGTGGGCTCGTTATTTGCTCCCTTCTCAATTAGTAGTTTGGCTATAAGTTCATGTCCGTAGCAAGCTGCAGTATATAGCGGGGTCTTTCTTTCGTTATTGCGGATTTCTATCTGGGCTCCTCTAGCTATAAGAATTACTACTATAAATATATATTCTTTTAATATAGTATTATATAGTAATATCTGGCTACTAAAGTTCTATTTGTTTTAATTAATATTATTATTAAGCAGAATCTTTAGAACTATATCTTTACTATAATATATAGTAATATATAGTTTTAATAGCTTCTTAAGTTTATTATTATTTCCTTAAAAAGCTATATAATATAAGATTATCTAGCCTATATTATTAGTAGGCTCTAGACTTAATTATTAATCTATAATATTAGTTAGTAAATAATATCTTAATATTTCTATAAAACCCTATAGAAAGAAGATAAAGAATTAAAGTATATCTTATACTATTAAGAACCTAATATAAATTATATTAGAAGTAGCTATTCTAAACTTCTCTAAATATATCCGAATATTCTTATAATTCTTATTAAACCGGCTCGTAAATTTTACTATATTAGAATAGTTCTACTAAATAGAAATTTTTAATAACTCTATATATTTATAGAATTATTTATTACTAGGCTTTAAGAAACAAGAATTTCGAGTTTACTTATTAGTTTCTACTTTCTAGACACTTTTTGCTTTTATTTTATTAGTTACTAAAATTTAAAAGAAATATAAAATATTTTACTTTTATTATTTTTATTTGCTTTATTTTATAAATATAAATAATCTAAGAATCTTAAAAGTTAAATATAGTATATAAATCTTAATATAAATCTCGAAAATAGATTAAGTTATTTTCTAAACTAAAAATAAAATTCTTATTTAATTATTCTTTAATTATAATAAGCTAGTAATTAATTCTAAATTTTTAGTTTAAAATATTAAAGAAAAATATAATATATATTAACTTAAAAATCTTTTAATATATTTCGTTTTTATCTTTTATTAGTATTATAGCCTGAAATTAGTTAGAGTATTTACTAATTAGTTTTAAGTAAATAAAGAAATATATATTTTTTAAAATTATATCTTTTAGGCTATATAAGATAAAAATTAAAAATTAAGAAATTAAACTACTTTATAAAAGTAAGCTTATTAAATAAAATTAATAAAAATTCTACTAATTTTATTATATATTCTTATATTTCTTATAGTAATAAAAAAGAATTTAGTAATAATATTTATAATTTAAAATATTTTACTTTAAATTAATTTAAAGTAATAGCTATATAAAAGTATATAGGCTTCTATTAAATCTTAAAATAGAATATTTCTAAGCTATATATATATTTTTTTATTTGCTTTTAGGAACTAAATAAATAGTTATTAAGATTAGTAATTATAATATAGCTAATTTAAATTAGTAAATACTTTTATTTCTAGAGTATTAAAAATAAATAACTACTTATTTTATTTTATAATTATAATTATTTCTAATTAAATTTAATAATACAAATCCCGAGAAATTATAATTAATAATAAAAGAAATACTAGTATCTAGAATATTTTGCTTTATTATAAATATAATTCACTTATTTTTACTATTTTAAAACTTATTTAGGATTTATTTAAAAGTAATAATAGCTATTTTAAAGTTCTTTATATAATATAAATTAGTATTTAAAAAGTAAACTATAGGCTCCGGACTTTTATTCTTTAATTATAAAATTAAAAAAAGAAGTTATTTATAGTTTTTTCTAATAAATAAATCAAATATTTCTTAGATTTAATATATTATAGAATAGGCTATTATAAGAGTATTTATTAATTATAAATTTTAAAATATAACTTTAAAATACCTTAAATAAAGAAAATAGGAAACTATAATTATATTTTTAATAAAATACTACTAAATTACTTAGGTATTAATATTAAGGCTTATAGCTAGCTAATAAATAAATTCGAGAAATAAAAAGTAATTATTAGTTTACTAGTAATATATAATACTATTATATAGGTATAGAAGTACTATTTATATAAGATTAGTAAAGTTATTATTTAGAAATAGGAATTATAATATTATAATATTAATATATAATTTCTAAATTTACTAAGCCTAAAGAAGTCTAGTCTATTAGTCGAGTTACTAATAGAATATAAGATTATATAATTATATCCTATATCTTATATCCTATTACTTATATTCTATTACTTATATTCTATATTTCATATCTCGTAACTATATATATAATTCCCAAAGAAATAGTTATACTAATACTAGAAATTCTCTAAAAATATAAAAAATAGTATCTTTCTCTAATTATATATAAATTCCCTAATCCGGCCTAGTACTAGATTCCCTAAATATTCTATATATTTATATTACTTTTAAGGTTTTAGTTATATACTAAAGGCTATAGCCTTTTATATATAATCTTTTTTCTTATAAGTCTATATTCCCTAATCCGGCCTAGTACTAGATACTCAGATACTAGATACTAAGGAAATCTCTATATATATTTTCCTATTTATATATTTATTTCCTGTTCTATTTATATTTAATCTATTTCTTTATATCTAATTATATAGTATTTATATTAATAAGATACTTAAGGGTATTTAATAGCTTTAATTTTATTATAGAATTAGTAGGATTTAATTTTCTCTTAATTTACTTAACTTCTATAATTTCTTATTATTTATATATCTGGCAGAGATATATTATATTAATTATTAGATATTTCTCTCAAGTAGTACCTAATTTAATAAGGCATTTATATAATAACTTCAAATTCATATAAATAACTAGTAGTAGTTCTATTTCTAGTACTTTATTAATTATAGATTTAACTAAAGTACTTATATTAAAACTATAAGCTATACTATAGAGTTCCAAAGCTAGAATACTTCTAGTAACTTTCTTGTATTTAGTAAAGAACTAGTAGATAATATTAGTATATCTAGTTCTATTTACTAGAACTAGAATATATCTAATTTAGAAAAAAAGATCTCTATTATTTATAAATAAAGTATTTATAAAAATAATTAAATATAAGAACTTCTTTACTAGCTTTATAAATTTTAGTTCTCTAATAGTATTCTTAATTTACTATTAAATATACTTATTAAGTACTTTTATATTAGTTTCCGAGGATTTAATAGCTTGAGTTATAATTAATAAGTTATATAAAGCTTCTGGTTAATAAACTAATATAATATATACTTCTCTAGTATATTAGGTAATATATTAGTTCTTAATAGAGAGATTTTAATAAATAGTACCCCTACTACTTATAATAATAGTATTCTTTATAGAAATAGTTCGGAGGTTCTTATACTAGTATTCCTATATAAAAGTAATTCTAGTAGTATCTATATAAATAATATCTCTATTAAATTTGAGATTATAATTAAAAGTAAGAGATTTATATTTCTTAGCCAAGAACTTAGCCTTATAAAGCTTTAGTTACTTTGCCTTTATAAAATTATTAGTTCTAATAAATAAGATATTATTAGTTTAAAGGCTAATAATTCTAAAGAATTACTTACTATAGAATAGGCAAGGGTTATAAGTTAACTATTCTATAGAGAGCTCATTAATATAATAAGAATAATAAGTCTTAAACTAGTAATTCCTAGCTTCCGGTATATTATATAGTAGTTTTATAACCTTTAGAATAGAATTATTCTTTAGATTTAGCTTTCTAGTAAGCTTATAAGATAAATTAATATAGAAATTATAATTAAATAAAATTATTAATTAGATATAAGCTTATAAGATATTATATAAATATAATTCCATAGTATCTATTACTATAATAATAATACTAAAAATAATTCTCTAGCTAATATATTAAATAGTAAGTAATTATATTAATATTATATATTTCTTATTATTATTATAAGCTTAAATAACTAGTCTTGACTTCTTAAGCTTTCTTTTCGTATTCTTATTCTTAATCTTATTAATAAACCGAGAGTTAAAGATATATACTTTCTTTAATATCTGAGATCTAGAAATAACCTTAAATATATTCTTTTCTAGAAAGCTAGTAACTTTAACTTAATAGGAGTTCTTATATAGGTTATTATTTTATAAGAATACTATAATATCCGGGTTCTTATAAGAATATTCTTTATTATATTTTAGTAAATAGCAGGAATAATAGGAGAAATCATACTTATATTACCTTTAGCCTTATTATTAGGTTCGGGAATAAATTCAGATTCGGGGCTATTAGTAATAACCTTAATATTCCTTATATAAAAGGGCTTTATAGAGGTTAAATAAAAGGTAATATTACTATATAATAGAGCTAGTATATAGTTCTCTTTATTAATAGCTACTAGCTTATATAGTCTATCCTAATTACTAGATTAATTAGTATTTCCTTTATATTAAATAAAAATATTCGAATTTAGAAATAATTTATAAATATTAGTAATACTAGAACTATTTCAGGTATTTAAAGTATTTGTAATTTAATATCTAGCTTAAAGTTTCTGAATTTCTACTATTGCCTTCTTAAGTATTACTAATTACTATAATATAATAAGTAATAGGATATTATATTTAGTTATTTGAAATAAAGTATTATAAACTAAAAGGGTTAGGATAATACTATTAGGTTCCGTAAAGTTATTAATAGCCTTAAAAGCTATTTGAAATACGGTATCCTTATTA